GATAGATAGATAGATAGATAGATAGATAGATAGATAGATAGATAGATAGATAAAGTAATAAGTTCACATGACGACTGAGAAAAAACTTCAAATATGAACAACAGTATTGTTTAAAACAGCAAACTGACACATCATTAGATTTGATGGGCTCTGATACTATTAATATCATCAAGCGTTTTGCCTGATTAGAGAGCAACAGTATAAAACTGTGATTTTCCACAATAAACAACTGAAATACTATTCAATAAAGTTAAAGATCTGCATTCAGTCAATTAATAAATAAATGATACAACTAAAAGCTTGTTTTAAGTATCAGTCAGTGCACTCTGAATCCAGTCCCAGCATCCTCTTAGCCTGTCAGCTTAAACTCAGAGCAAGTACATGACTTTAATAAGCCTCAGAGGCTGTGACTTACCTCAGCCGAGGGAGATTGAGAAGTGCAGGGCTGGATGAGGGGTGCAGGCGGGCACAGTTTACTGAGAGATTAACCTGTCACACCCCATAACTCACAACACATTCATCTCATCTACATAATAAACATTCACCAGGGGAGGGACTGAACCGGACCAACTACAAAACATCAGCAGGGGGACAAAAAAAAGTGTGTGCTCTGAACTCAGTTTTAAGACTTTTTTTGCTTTTAGTATGTAATTGTTGAGTTTATGATTATGTTGAGGTCAGAAAAATAGTATGCCAATGCTTGTATAATAACTTTTATTAATAAATAAACATTATACAATGCACAACAGAACAGTATTTCAGTCATGTTTAAAATGATGTGAATTCAGGTTTCATTTCTATCTATTTGAATGCATATTTACTAATGAACCGCTAAGCATTATATAATGTAACTAGATTTTTTACATTTCTATACAAAACTGAGTGTCAGATGCAAGGGTGTTCACTGCAAAATGTTTTTCTTACTCAGTATTTTTTATTCTAGTATAAATCTCTAAACATTCGTAAATCAACATACTTGAGAAGCAACATGATTTAAGATATGAAGTCTTGTTTACTGAAAAATTGAGTGAGTGTGCACTTAAAACAAGAAAAAATATCAGTGGGGCCAGAAAAATAGACTTAATTCGAAAGGGAAAACACGATTATTTTTCTTACCCCACTGAGACATTTTTCAGAAAGCAAAATGTAATACATTGTCATTTTCCTTTTATAGTAAATGTATCTTGATTTAAGAAGAGTGCTGATTAGTGAATTCGTGATCTTTCATCAGTTTTTGACATTTGATCATTTCATATAACAAGCAGTTTGGAGAATGAATGGGTGCATGGATGGGATCATTTCTGAATTTTTTTTTTTTTTGAGGTCGTAGGCTATTAGTGCCTTTGAGAAATAAAAGAATATAATTTTTTGCATAAATTAACTTTTTATGATAAGAAATACCAATGTTCAATATCAAGCAGTATAACAAACTGCTTGAACCGCTTTTTGTACAGCGAAAATAACTGAAAGGGAATCACACCGGAAGCCTTGCATATTCAAGTTGTAAATGTCCATGCGCGCGCTTACATAAAGACTTTATTCTGGTGATCTGGATTCAAAAGCCTCAAATCTGTGCTTTGATTTGGTCACAGACTAGACTAGAGAAACAGATATAAGCTGCAAAGACAACACGAGTTCTTTTTATAATAAAATAACCGTTCATTGTTGATTGCCTCAAAACATTGGCAGCCTAAATCAGTCACACAGACGGATTGTGATCTAAAAGGCTCTAATCCTGCGACCACTGACTGAGATTCACAATAACATTATTACTGCATTGGGTTTTACACTTTATAATCCTCGCTGAGCAATCCTTGATGTTTATTCCCTCTTTAAACCCCTCTGTTATACAGTGAGCACTTTTTGTAATTAAGGTTTTGGTTTGGCAACTAAAAATATATTATAAAAAAGTAAACGGTAAACTGCCATTTGGGAAATTGTGGTCCTGCTCGCCCTCGTTTCATTAAGTTACTTACTGAAAACTTACTGATCTACTATTTAAGCTGCTGCTTCTTCTTCTGAGCCAAAATGTGAACACTAATTCCTTCTAGAGCTTTAAAGCTACAACCACCAAACTCGGGTCATATCTTCTAAATTGTCTGACTTGGTGTGCTATGACTTTTCTAACTGATACGATTTACGGTTTTCGTAAACCAGACTATCATTACCACCAAAAATCCCATAGACTTTCATTGAGGGGGTGAAAACCTTTGTACAATGAGACTTATGGTGTCTATTGCTATAGCAAAGCTTAACAGCTCCCTACTGAAAAAAACAGTTAAAACCAGCTTAAGCTGATTGGCTGCTTTGGCTGGTCTCCCAGGCTGGTTTAAAAGTGGTTTTGGTCACTTTTTAGCTGGTCAGGTTGGTCTTAGCTGGTCAAGCTGGGAGACCAGCTAAAAGACCAACCAAGCTTAAATTAGCTAAGACTAGACAACCAGCCTAGGCTGATTTTACCTGGGTTTTAGCGTTTTATTATTATTATTATTAACAATTATTATTATTTATTTTTTAAATACATATTTTACATTGAATCAACTGTTTTTTTTAAATAAATTTTTTAAAATACTAAATCAGCTGGTTTTATTTGGTTTTAGCTTTTTTTCCCATTCATGTTAAAAACATGTTAACAACATGCTAGAACCAAACGTTAATCATGCTACAAACATGTTAATCATGCTAAGAACATGCTAGCAAAATGCTAGCAACATGCTAATAATGTTAAAAACATGCTAGCAACATAGTAATCATGCTAGCAACATGCTAATCATGTTAAAAACATGATAACAGTGTGCTAACATAATGCTAAAATATACTAACAACGTGTAATCATGGTAACAACATGCTTATCATACTAGAAACATGCTAACCACATGCTAATCATGTTAGATGCAATGCTAAAACATGCTAGTAACATGTTAACAACATATTAATCATGTTAGAAACAGTCTAATCATGCTAGAAACATGCTAACAACATGTTAGCAAAATGTTAATTGCATTAAAAACATGCTACTAACATGCTAATTCTGTTAAAACATGTTAACAACATGCGAATCATGTTAGAAATATGCTATCAACATGCTAAACATGTTTTATAAAACGGATAGTTCCGGTCCTTGATTCTGATTGGTTGAGCCAAGTTTGAAGCTGTTGTAAATTACTCTACAAACATACATCTTTGTTTACATTTGTGTGTTGCTCGGCACAGCAACACACAACCATTTCTAAGGAACTACATTGTTTGGCTGAAGAATAATGTTTGTATTAATATCATTACACTTTATTTGCTCTGTTTTATTTTGTGAAACCTAACTACGTATATGGAATAACTGTTTTATAAAAGCAGTAAGCCCCGTGAAGCCGTGGTTTACAGTGAATTTATAACAGCTTCGCGTCATGCCGAACAACGACCCTTAGCTGTTATAAATTCACTGTAAACCATGGCTTCTTGGGGCTTATTGCTTTAAAAGACATGCTAATAATTCTAAAATCATGCTAGCAACATGCTAACAACATACAAATTGTGTTAAAAAATGCTAGCAACATGCTAACCATGCTAAAATTATGCTAGCAACATCTCTCTAATCTAAACTTTCAAACGTCAAGCTTTTACAGCTGCTTCAAACTTTCAGGCTAGGCTTTCTCAAGCCAACTTCAAAGTTTGTTCTCAAACTTTACTAATCTAATATACATCTTTGTTTACATTTGTGTGTTGCTCGGCACAGCAACACACAACCATTTCTAAGGAACTACATTGTTTGGCTGAAGAATAATGTTTGTATTAATATCATTACACTTTATTTGCTCTGTTTTATTTTGTGAAACCTAACTACGTATATGGAATAACTGTTTTATAAAAGCAGTAAGCCCCGTGAAGCCGTGGTTTACAGTGAATTTATAACAGCTTCGCGTCATGCCGAACAACGACCCTTAGCTGTTATAAATTCACTGTAAACCATGGCTTCTTGGGGCTTATTGCTTTAAAAGACATGCTAATAATTCTAAAATCATGCTAGCAACATGCTAACAACATACAAATTGTGTTAAAAAATGCTAGCAACATGCTAACCATGCTAAAATTATGCTAGCAACATCTCTCTAATCTAAACTTTCAAACGTCAAGCTTTTACAGCTGCTTCAAACTTTCAGGCTAGGCTTTCTCAAGCCAACTTCAAAGTTTGTTCTCAAACTTTACTAATCTAATTCATAATTACAGTTCAAGCTAACGGTTTAGTTCAGGCTTCGGAGTGAATGGGGTTTTCTTCATGGTGGCGGGGTAAATTTAGGACAGGCCACAGGTCTGCAGAGATGCTTTCCATTCAGGCATGCGAGCACAAACCCGATAATGAGTAGGAGGAACAGTTCTTGTACGAGTCCATCACAAAACCCTGCTGCTCTGCTGCACAGGCACAAATGAGCGACCCTCCCTGCAGCCCACAACATTGTCTGCAGAACAGCTCCTCACTACATAGCATTCACTCATTAGTGGTGGACTTTGTTACCGTTTTTGATTCTTTTCAATGATACAGTGGCCCCCAAAAGTATTTGGACACGTACGCCACACTTAATGCAGTTCATTCAAAAAAAAAAAAAAAAAAGTGTCCAGATACTTTTTAGGGCCACTGCACAGGGACTGGACTGACATGCAACCATTTGCTTTTCATTTTGTTTCTGCCATTTATAAAAGGTCATGAAAAATCAGCAGTAACATTTTATTTTGAGAATTTCTGTATTCTCTACAAAAAAAAAAAAAAAAAAACCTTTCATTCACCATTTATTGTGTAATAAATGAAGTTTTTCAGCCACCCAGAGTTATTGTAACGGAAGACGCAACAGGTTAGTAGATATCAAACTGGTTTATTGGGTCACAGAGAGTACTAGGGTAGGGTTCAGAGGATGTGATGGTGAGGGAATAGTTCGAAGGATATGATGAGCGGTGTAATCCGGATCTTTGGCTGTACAGGAGCTGGAATGCAGGCAGGAGGATCACACACCTCAGCGATCCGGGAACTAGGAGTAACAGGAGACACTAGGAGGAACACAGGAAGTATTCAAATGGAAGTAGCAGCAAAGTCATTGAGTCCTCTACGTGTATACGAGACCGGACAGTGAGGGTGTCTGAGGTGTGCTTTTATGCAGGCTGGTAATGAGGTGCTTGATTGGTGACAGGTGCTCAGAACTCAGGTGAGAGGGATCATTGTGATTGGGTGGTGGTGGAGTCTGGCCGATCTGTTACAATACCCCCCCTCCACAGCCCGCTCCTGAGGGCAGAAAACCCCGACGTCGTGGTGGTCTACCTTTGCCCTGAGGTGCTGGCTGATCAGGATGGGCAGCCTGGAACTCAAACATTAAGGCAGGGTCCAGTATATCGGTCCTAGGTACCCATGAGCGTTCCTCGGGTCCATATCCTTCCCAGTCCACGAGGTATTCCAGCTGACCACCACGGTGCCGGGACCGCAGAATTCTCTTCACCTTGTAGACGGATC